GGGAAAAAGATGGGATCATTTAATTAAACCGGCATACACGTGTATATGTATTTCTGTGTAATTACTTCATGATATTTTCTCCTGATGATCTAATGAAAATTTCCAATTTAATTCAACGTTTGATGTGAACGCTAGCCTCGTTATTTTTATGGTGTTTGAATTTAACACAATTTAACCTCACCCTCTGAAGATTCGCGGTCGGATTTGCTTAGCGAATAACTACGTGATATCTCAAACCATTTCCTGTAGTTCGCACTTATATGAAACGTTGCACGGTGGTTTTATGTAAGAAAAAAAAAAAAAAAGGAAAGAAAGAAAATGATGCAAGATATGCGCAAATTGCGAGTACACGTAACCGTTCGTATTGATTTTTGTACGCCTGTCGTAGGAAACGTGTGCCACGACCCTGCAACTCACTTTTGTGGCCCTCCCTTCTGGCAAATACACAATTACACATACTGCTCGTGCCACGCTTCCTGAATCCATTGTCTATTATAATCATTAACGGGATTTCGATTATCCGGCAGAACGCCTTGCCAGAACGAATGCACACGTAAGCTTTTTCATTTTCTGATTGTTAAAGATTTTATCGATTATTCGCTCCCTCGTCAAAGGTTCATTCTGTGCTGAATGCCTGATACAGATTATCATTCAACAATAGCGATATCTGATTTTGTTGCATTTAAAGAATTATTCTAAAAATTTTTACAATTTTAATTTTTATCACTATGCTTCTAATATTTTTGTTAATATAATTTAGTTTTTATTATTTTAAATCAGATTATAGAATTATTAATAATCTTGATATAATTTTGAATGATCATCGAATGACATTTTTATCACGATATTTTAACATAACCTTGATTTGCTTTCGAATAACCTTAAACGACATTTAGCTTTGATCACATTTATAAAAGTACAATGAACTGAATCAAACGTTTGATATAAATAAAATATTAAAGTTCAGGTAAAAATAAAATAGGCAATTCAACAGTGAGAACATGATTCCATATAATCGCACGAGATTAAATCGGAGTAATCATATAAATATAAAACATTTGAAATGACTCACCTATTTTGAAGTCTTCGTTTGTTTTCTATCGCGAAGTAAATAACAAACTATTTTTGAGAAAAACTTTATATGACGAGAAAAGTGTTGTATACATATTTTAATAGATGTATTCAATCCTTTAGTAAGAGAAATCGTATCATAGATTTGAATACATCGAACAAAATTTTCACAATACTGAATTTATATTTACTTAACAATATCGAATATACAACATACATTTACATATATTGATCATTGTTTTCGTTAGGGACAGGGCACAATTATCACAAAGTTTTATTCACACGTTCACTGTTTTACACAATAATTTAAACATTGATAAATGACATATCGATCTATTCTATAACGTACAATCGCCATTGCGATCAACTAACGCGTCAATTTTTGAGAGACTAAATATATTTTAAACTTTTCAAATATTTCAAACAAAATATGAAATTGAGAAATAAAAACAACTATAAAAATTAAATTGTCTATTTTATCGAATAATTATTCCTCATAAAAGTTGCATTTATTCGAATTAAATCAATTAACAATACTGCATATGACTAACGAACTTCTTGTTTGAACTTGCATCCAATTGGGAGCTAACTTCAAGGATTGCTTTTCTAAACAAGCGTTAAAAACAATGGTAGTTAATGAATACGTATTCTCACGAGTAAAGTAAAGTGTATAGTGTATATGCATAGATATCAGTGGCCGAAATTTCGGAAAATCGTTCCGATAGTTGTTACGAGGGCAATCGTAGAAATTAGCGAACAATACGGACGAAAACCAACATTCCTGGATGTTGCTTGTTGGTGGGGATTGGAGGGGTGGCCAATAGCGTTTGCGCGGGAGAAAGGTACAAAACGGGGGACATATTCGTAGGGGGATCATAGGAACGCGGTCGTATCGTCGCTCGGCAGCGCCGCGACGCCCTCGAGGCGAACTAGACGTAACACTCTGTGCTCGACACTACTGAGACTTTTCGACGTTTCTAACCTTGTCTTGGCGCTGTGTGCTGTTCCGTTCGTTTATACAGTAATATAGTGTCGTGCGTTGTCTTTCACATTCTTCTTTCATAAGTCAGTTTTTTTAGTTTTGTGATTATAAGTTCGAGGTGAATCATTCAATTTTTGGACAAGAAAAAGAGAGAAAAATCTGGTGACGCGAAACGATTGTACTCGCCTTAGGAACAAAATACTCTAAATTTACACGGTAAGCGTCCTTTTTTTTCTTAAATACTAACTTTTCCAAGGTCAATTGCATCTTTCGCAATGGTTTTAAATTACTGTCAATTATCCGCGTCTCCAAACATTTAAACGGAATTCTCTTTGAATCAACTCGTTCTATAGGTCCATGCTGCCTATTTCGCGCGAAATTTTTGAAGAAAAAAATTGTATATCTCGCAATATTATAAATTATATATCGATAAATACTTGTGTTATATAATCGGTATTTTTGGTGAAAACGATAGTTTGCTCGTTATTAGATTGTTAGGTCAACGAGGACATCAACGTCGCGCGAATTCGCGTTTAAATTCTATTCGAATGACGCAGTTGGCAATGTTGTATATTTTAACATTTCGCTCGTAATATTTATGAATAACAAAACGTTGAAGTATTATATAAACAAGATACGAATTTAACATGCCCTAAGGTAATTTACTATTTTTATATTACGTACACGTTACAAAGGTAAGAAATTAGTTGCACTTTAGATGAGCAAATTATTTTTCTATAGAGGGCAATAGTGTAATTTTCTGTGCATGGCCTTGACACAGTTGATTTGCCCGAATAGTCGATAAAATAAACTGTCTACAGTTTTAAGGACATATTGAAAATATTTCGCGTCGAAAATTTCCCGAATAGTTACAAAATTTTATATATTTTTATTTATAATTTATCAATATTTACAAATACTTGTACAAGTATTTATTTTTACGATTAAATTTTACACGAAACGAGGATTCCACAAAGTGACGATCAAACGACGATCGATCCTCTTGAATAATATTTAAAGACATAGCTAAAGGCCAACTTGGCTGTTAAATTCCCTGACACGCTTTTCTCCTTGAAATTCTATTATATATTATAGATTTTACGGTTCATGAAACAATATCTTCCTGACTTTATGTTTATTATTTCTCATTTATATTCTTCGATCGTATTATTCTTGATATTTAAAGATTTACCATCAAACATCTATCTCCAAACGCGAGACTAAATAAATCGTTTAGAAAATAACTTTAATGACGATGCCGACAAAGAGGGAGAAGCGACAGAGGGAATATAACCACAATTTTGTATCCCACCAATAGACCTCTCTTTCTTTTCATTCTCTCGTTTCCATTCTTTCGAAGCATCGAACGTGTCCCTTGCACAAACGACAAAACCGCGCTCGCCCTCTCCGTGCATTATTTTTTCCTTCCTCCCTTCCTTCTTATTTTTTTTCTTTCTTCTTTATTTTTTCTTCTTTCTCGTGACACCAGGGGTGGAGAAACTAGCCACGGATGTTTCTTTCTTCTCTCGCTCATCTCCATCATCTCCTCCTCGTTCTCGTTCTCATTCTAGTTCTCGTCCTTCGCCTCTCGCTTCCCATCTTCTTTCCTCTAGCCTTTTCCTTTGTCTCCCTGGAAACCTTGCGGTAGTTATGCGACGTTCAGCCCAGCCGCTTGGCTGGTGGGGTTGGAAAAAGGGGAAGGAGGTGACTCGAGGTTGCGTGGGTGGGGGGGCATCGGGGTTGAAGGAGGAGAGGATACGGTCCTGAACGTGACTTGGATGCAATATTTAAAAGCGGCACAACGTCAATACTCCACTCTCTCTCTCTCTCTCTCTCCTCTTTCTCCTTCTCTCCTACTGTTTCCCTTCTTTTTCGGCGACATCTTTGCGATCCCCCTTTACGATCGGTTACAACAAGACGATCCTAAATCGGGTCTGATCTTAACCCGACATCCTCCCCTTACCACTAAGGGGACCGTTGTTCGGTCTGAAGGGAGCTGGTCTAATGTTTCCTGAAATTCGTTACTTCGTCCCTCTACGGTACACCACTGACCGATAGCCGTTTCCCCAACCAAATTCCTCCGTTTAACTTTCGCATTCCTCGAAAATCTTATCCCCTTTGCATCGGTAACAGGAAATTAGCCAAGGGTGCGTGAAGAATTCTCGTATATTTCGCGATAAGGAACATGAAATATAAGAATGAGCGCAATTTATCGGCCGGTAATTCATTCGGGACGACGGTTAAATTTTAGATCGAGAGTTATTGCCGTACTCGTCTTTCCTAATATCGCTAAAATATTCCGCTTCGGGAATATTTTATCAATTTTTGACTGCTGCTCGGTAATTTATTTCTAATGTCTTCCTCTGTGGCGGTCGGGGATACGGAATACGGGGTGGCGAAACGGAGAAAGGAGGAAGAAAAAAAAGAAAAGAAAAAAAGGAACGAGCGGCGTGATATAAAAGGGCGAGAAAATGCAGGAAGTTATGACAATTATGAGAAGGGGAGGAAGAAACGTCTAGGTGTGCGACGGCTCGTGAAATGAAATCGGGGACGAGAGACGATCGTTTATAAGTTCGACAGATGGAATTTCTCTTTTCATCCGTTCCTTTTCTCCTTATATTTTTTTCCCCCCGCGTCGAACTACGGATCATTCGATAAATGGGCCCCCTATGATCCAATTAAGACGAGGGAAAAATGAAGGAAGCGTACATTCCATTTGATTTTTGGCAATGTTATTAAGGGAACAAAAATCTTGCAGTTCATTCGATTACGTCGAATTCGGTTCGTCTTCTTTTCCGAGTCCTTTTTCCCTTTGTTGGCTCGATCACGCACAATCTCACGTTCTTTGCCGGTAAGTCCATCGGGAAATTTTCAAACAACATTTTCCGTCGCGTGAAGCCATGAAAGGAAATAGAATCCTCGCTCTGTGTCTGCGTTTTAATTAAAAGGAAACTTGCACAAAGTTCGATCGTTCTATATATTTATATACGTATTTTTCATTCTTTATCCTTATTCGAATTTCATTACTTCGATATATTCGAAGATTATATAGAATTGATTTTTCGTTTCATTTACGATTATTCGATTAAAGTTTTATTAATCAAATTTCCAATACTATGATTTATTCACGAATTATATCAAGCTTGATGCAGTTTCATTTCATATTTATTTCGAAGGAAGGATATCATATGTTTTCTCGCGTATTTATTAAAATAAAATACACTCTAGATAAAAAAATTTTTATTTTCGATCAATGCTGTTAATTTTATATCAATAATAATTTAACCGCGGTATATATCGAATAACGTTGATAAAGTAACATTTTTAACATTTTCGTATTTTATTACGCATGATCACTTTATTAGATATTATTTGTAATTTCCAAGATTCAATCTCGTATTTAAATATTATTTAATTTAAAAAATACGAATTTCTTATCGAGTTTTAGTATCATTATCGTGCTGATCAATAACGTAAATTTCAACAAATGTTTTGAACGTTTTTTCAATTGTCGATACTTAACTACGACCGTAAAAAGCAATTATATCATAACGTGGATATAGCCAAGGGTGGAATAAATTTATGATGACCTTTACGAAACTCTGTTTCTCAGAATTCGTAAAATTTAAAGGCTTATTTCTTTAGCGAACCGTTGGAGAAAGCGAATTCTCCGGGAGAAATTGGCGAAATAGCAGGTAAAACGCTAACACCCTCTGTTCGACCTTACTTTGCACCCTCTTGCGCTCGGTTCGGCATTGTCAGTAATTCTCGGATATCGCTTTATCTGAAATTTAATCCGAGGTCAAATCCCCTTATTTACAAAGAAAACACGGGAAACGAGAAATTATTTTCATCCTCCGGGGATATCTGCAAAATTATTCGGAAAAGTTATTCGAATAAGAAGCATAACTAACGCATAACTAAAAAAACACGTGATGCAAAAATTGCATCGAGCATTGAATTACTCTAACATCCTATAGAATTTCTCTCTTCTCCGGAACGTGTTTGAACTCCATTCCCATTCCACGACCGTTCTTTTTTTTCTTATATTTCGTTCTATTCCCATGCTCTTGCCCTTGACTTTCTCACCCTTACCGTCTTCGAATATCTCCTTATCCCGAGCTTAATTCGCGAAAGGAACGGTCGATGGAGGGCGTGTCTGGATGCTCGAGAAGAGCAATTACGAGGAGAGAAAAATTTCACGCTTACACAAGGGATGCTCCCTGTAATAATAACACGTTCCATGATTTTCTTCTTTTTTTTTTTAAATCAAACTCGACAATTTCTAAACGGGACTTAACGAAATTTAAGATATTCTCGAGCTTTCTACTTCTATTTCTCGAACGTTAACCTTTTACGTATTCAATTTTCTTTTTTTTTTCAACACGATCGCATTACGTTTTCTCTTTATTCGATGGCACAGCTTACACCCTCCTTCGCCGTTATAAGCTTCGAGTGATGCGTATTCCAGCTTATTCGCGACGCTTTAGCCAAGGACTATCTGTAATCAATATTTGCGTGTCGCTTTCACGTACAGTGCTAACTGCTATTGACCGAAATGCCACTTGGTCTTGAACGCCGCGCCGTTTCCTTCGATAATGACCCTATAAGGATTCCGAAAGGGATCCTCGATTCTATAGATTTACACTTAATTCCGATACGTTCCCCATTCTATCGAAACCCGTTTAGATAGTAACTGTACCGTGATACCGGATTTATGAACTTGCCACGCTCCTATTAAATTCAATAATGGCGCGAAGGGTGATGATTTACGAACGCTTCACCCGATCGAACAGCCTCGATCGAGACAATTTAACAGAACGGAAATTCTAATAGAGAGTGGAAAAGAAATTCGTTCCTTTTAAACTCGAATCTCGGCGAATAAATTTCGTACGTGAGATCGTAAAGAGTGTAACACGGGATTGCTAAAATATTTATTTTCTAGCGTAATTACGTATCGCGCTCCAACAACGTGTAATTTAATCGTTGAATCTATATTTATACGTCACAGCGGAAGTTTTACGAGCTTCTTGTTCGTTTCTTCTCTAAGCGGGAAAAATCGTAGCGAAAAGATGGTTGTTAACCGTGTACGAGTCCGGCGGATTCGAGTGATGCAGAAATTTGAAAAATGAATAAGAAAAGCGAAAGGAAGAAATGCAATCGTGACGCTTTCATCACCGCAGAAATGCAATGAAATTATTCGTGTCGCAGAGGCGAGCCGATTTTCATCCAGGTCAAAGATACTAATTTCACGTAACTCGTCTCGTAACTCGCTCCATCGACTCGTCGAGCAGAGTTTGTCTCCTTGTTTCTTGGTTTACCAAAGAAACCTCTCTTCGCGTAGCGTTACAACGTAACGGTGGAAATCCCCGGAGAACTTTCGACCTGGAAATTCAATTTCCATCGCGAGGTTCCCGGTAATGTCTCGCGACTTTCTCCTTTCTTTTTTTTTTTCTCCTCCCTTTATTCTTCTTGCCGCCTATTCGCTCTCCCCTCGTCTCTCCTTTCTTCACCGATCCTGTCTCGCTCACGTGGAGAGACGTGGAATGCCTAGACAGACAATTTTTGCATCTTTTTTTCTTTCGCGTATCAAGAATGAAAAAGGGTCGTGGGGGAAAAAGGGAGGAGGACGTATTCGAGGATGTAAGGGGAGGGGCGGAGTAGAAAATGTGCATACGTGGGCGATAAGAGGAATGACAAAACGAAGAGACGGTATCCGCGGTTTCATACGGGTTGTTTGAAAAATTCAGAAACATTGCCTCTTATGGATTTTATTTTACGATTCCGTTCCTAGGTAACGGAAAACGAGAAATCGATTTCTCGCGTAACTTTATGGTAGGTGTAATACAAACTGGATGATAGTAAGCGTTGCCACCGACAGCTGTCAGACGTATAAAATGCCTTCGACTGTTGCATTCGATACATCACGTATATAAGTTTTAAAGTCACGACCGTTCTCCTTGGTATATATGTGTATATATAAAATATATACCATACCATATACACACACGTGTGCTCTTCTCGTAGCTCGTTTCTCGTAATATATCGATCGCCTCTTTTCACTTCTATTATCCGGATTACACGATAATATTTGAACACGCGTATCCAGATGTTAATATCTTAAGTTAGATTGACCGGAAAGGTAGGTCGTATCTCACAGAGGGGAAGGAATACACCTGTTACACCGTCGAATGGATATCGTCCACCCGTGGATATGCATATGCATATGTCCGCACTCATAAACGATTTCTCGTCGCGCGTTTCATTTCTCGAGAAGAGAATCGAGGAATTTTTTTTCGTAAATAATTTTCAACAATATTCGAAAATAAGAATAATTTCGACGGTTCGATCGAGGGAAAGGTTGCGGCAGGACCGGTTTATCCGCCCCGACAATATTGAGGTTTGTACCGTCCACGGTTCAAGGGTGATGGTTAAAGGCTGATGTCCTGTCGCTATCCTAGTATCTCGGCGAGACTAACTGGCAGAAAGGGTCCGGGCACGTCAGTGCGATGCGGTGTCGTCGTGGGTGTGCGTACCATCTTTAGCAGAGAAGACCAGCTATAGAGGGATAACACCACTTTATGTCGTTGGGAGGTCGTAAAGATACCGGCAGACATGCTTTCGCCGTTTTCTCCCTCTTTCTTTCTCGCCCGAGAACGCTAACGCCCGGAATCCATCCGTTCGTACACGCGCACAAAATCAGACGCAACGAAATTGCCTGCACCCCATCGACCTGTCCGTTTTCGCGCGTAGAAGGAAGATCGATCGATTCGTTCATTAGCCAAGCGATAAATAAGAGGAGGGACGAAGCGAAAGGTCGTGTATCAAGTTTCGCATGGAACGAAATCTAGCGTCTCGAAATCGAATTTAAAAGTAAGCCATCGTGATCGATTAAAGTTATTTAGGGATAATCGCGAAGCTGTTGAATTCGCTTTTTTTTTTGCGCGCGCGGCACGCTATTTTTCTCGCTCTCCACTCGTCTTTCTTCTCCCGTTATCCGAAAGCCGATGGTGGACGATGCCGCTCTTTATCAGGCAGGAAATAGCAGAGAGTCGCGCATTGTGACCGGTCGAGATTAAAAGGTATTGTTCCCGCGCTTGCTCCAAATCGAATGATGGTCGAAAGGAAGGGCGAGAGAAATAGAAAGTTTGTTACCGGGCCAACTTCTGTTCACCACGCCAACTATCGTATATTACACGTATATAGGCGGGCTTTGCTAATCTCTTTGGTAATAGAACTTTTCCTCTTATATGAACGAGCCGCTACTTCTCTGTTAGTGGCCCTCTCGCCGATGATAGGATTTTATCGATGTTTGAACAGTTATCCGTTTCATCTCTCGTTATTGTTCCAACGATTCATTTTATTTTTGCCCCACCACCACGCTCGGCCGAGTGATCGATACTTTGCCAACTGATAACATTTAACCGAACAGACTTTCCTGGTTATTACGAGTTTCATCCCGGTCGCCGTGTAAACTGTGCAAAACGAGTAAAAACGATCCGCTTTCTATTGAAAGCTATTTTCGTTGTAAAAACGAGAAGAGCCGAGGATCCCGCGCGTGCACACCGTTTTCGTAATGGCATCCCCACGGACGGGGTTGCGCATTTTTCAACGTTACAGGCGGAGAGAGAGAAGTTATGTGAAAAAAAGAGAGTAAAAAAAAAAAAAGGAGAAAAAAAAGAACGAAGAGCGAAAGAGCAATTTGCGAGGGATCGTCCATGATGCGGATACCGGTGTCGCTAATTCATGGATTGACAAGAATAGAAATGACTTATTCCGTATAATCTGCCAGGGATCCCTACGCTCTCCGCCAAAGTTTCGCCGGTTAAATGAACCCTTAAATCACTCGGACACGATTTATTATCGTTATTACGCGTCGTCGCGAAGTGGGAGGCTGCCAGAAGCGGAGAAACGAACAAAAATCGAAAAACAGACGGACACTGGGAAAAGCGGGGGAAGGGAGGGATGGCGTTAGTGTTTACCGGCCGTTCCCGCGGGAATCAACCGTTGGTAGCAGTGAATGGCACTATTTACTTCACCCCGTTCACCCCGGTTCGCAGCGGCAATGTTTCAAACTTCCTTTTTTTTTTTTTTTCTTCCACCTCTCTCCTCTACTTCGCTGCCCGCTCTCCACGTTTCATACGTTCTTGTTTCACCGGCGTGACGCAATCTCGAAAAAAATTCTCGTTATAAATCGTGTTGCAGAGGGTATTTGAAATGAAATTTTCCGTCACGCCACGATTTGCGATTTTACGAATCGCCGATAGCAGTGTATTACGGGTGAGAGCTTTTTCATGATCTTCGATGAGCGAGATAAATTCTATACTTTCATAATTCCGAAAATTTGGTAATAATCTCCAGGTGATTAATAATCTCTCTGTTACATCTGAAATCACAGTTTTTTTTTTTCCTGGATAAAGTGTCCAATTTTCGAGCTATATGATTCCCCGATATTTTCTATAGTCGTTATTCCCGCGTGTGTGGGTGTTTGTGTGTGGATAGGCGCTGACGTGGATTATAGGAAATCAGTGTACGTAATCGAACGAATGGCGGAACGAAAGGGATAAAGAAAGACGAAGAAAGAGGCGAAGCTTGGTGGAAAGAAAGAGAAGGATGATTCTAGCAGGAATACTGAAAGAGAGGAATCCTTTCCAGGGCGATGCCTAGCTCCTAATTGCATGCCAGAGAGTGACTGCATCTCTTCCTCCTTCTCCCTACTATTCTCACCGTCTCTATTGCGCTCTCGTTCTTCCTCTCTCGCACGGTGAGTATTTGCAAGCTCCAACCCACTCCCTCCCCCTCAGTACGCCACTCCGGAAACGTGGCATAAGAAACGTTATTGCGCCACTCCGTGAAATTTCCTGCTACGACCCTGTCGCTATCCCTCTTTCTCCATTCCTCGTTCCTTTACCCTCGGCGACGTGCATTCGGAAAAGGCGGCGAGCAAGTATATTACGTTCTGGGTTGACGTTCTTCCGGTATCCTTTCAACCGGGACGCTAATATCGTCGAACAAGAGTAAAGAAGGAAAGAAAGAAAGAAATACACGGAGGAGAAGAAGAACAAAAGTATCCGAGAGGGATTCGTTTTTTTTTTTTTTTAAATTTACCTTTTATACCGTTTGTTGAAAATATTAATCGAAGCTTCGTTTCTTTCTTCTTTTATCCTCCAATTAGAATATACTTTTCGTCGATAATTGGTTATAAAAATCGATTAAAAAAAAGGGAAGAAAAGAATGAAAGTGAGAAGAATCGAGTTAGTCGAGAAGAGGATTTAGACGACAATGGTGGCAAGTATTGAATGTCTATTGAACGGGGTTTGATTTATTGCCGTAGCTCCAGTCAAAAACAATCGAATTCGTCGGGTATTCCGCTAGTAATATTCCATTTAAGAGGATTAGTTCGCTCCGTAATTTTCAATTTACTGCATCGCTGTTATCGCTGTCCGTTTTAATTAAATCAAATCCAACTTCCGCCTCGCCTCTTCCATTCCGAGTTGTCGCCCGTTTCTGCGATGATGTTCAACCATCAGTTTTTACAAAATTTTACCCTCGCGTTCTCGTCGCTCGACGAATAAACTTCGTATCGTATCGTATCAATTCTTACACGTTTCTTCTTACACGCCCAAAATCCCCTACCATATTTCCACGCCTATCAAAGAATGGCGGCTCTTGACGTAGCCGAGGGATACTGCTGTACCTGTTGATCCCTTCAGCTGGCCTCCTCGATCCATTCCTTCCATGGAAGGGAGTAAATAACCGGTGGGGTGGAATTATGCTACCCTCCTCGAAAACCAATAAAATAAATCATGCCGCGCGAGGACACGCGCGTTACGACTCCCTGTCTCTCACCTTACCATTTCTCCATCTCCTTCTCCCTTCGATTCTACCTTCGATACGTGGAAGAAGAAAGGTGGCGAGCCGACTTCTCCCACGGGAAATCAGAGAAAGATGCACTACTACGACGCGAACAACTCTTTTCCCTCGAACCGAACTCCTTCTTCTTTATCGTCACCTCCCTCTCTATCTCGCTCTTCCTTCTTCTTTCTTTTCTGCACGCGTGTTCGCACAACGATCGCACAACACCATTTTCGTGTTTCCTCTTTTCGCTTTTCTCTTGACAGTAGTAGAACCAATCGGTCTCGAACGGAGATAAGAAGCTGGCGGAGAGGATAAGGGAACGCGAATGCTATGGGAGAGTATGAAGAAACGAGTTATGTTCGGAGATATATAATCAAGTATACTTATATTAGGGGGAGATTACACGGATGAAACAATTGGAAAATTGATTGTTATCTAATTGCCTCGATTAAACCGATAAACACCGAGTTTATATAACCGGGTTTAATAGTTAAAAGAACGTAATATCTGATATCGAGATACCAGGAATTAATTATGATTATTTACATAGCGAAGGTAATTTCGAAATTCAGAGCCAGCTCCATTATTGAAACTCGCAACTAATTAATTTCCCCCTCAACCTATCCAAATCGTTGTGAATAAATTTATATAATTTTTGTAAATATTTTATAATGTGTATATCATCGTGCCTTCTCTTTGTAACTGCATCACGAACCATGGACTCTGCTCTTTATCGTGTAACGAATTATATATTTCTTTATTTATCGAAAACGCACGAGCATTGCACCAGTTTATCGTTTCTTTCCACATACGTTATAAACGATACGATATACGTATAAAATATAAAACATGTACACACACACACACACACACACACACACATACATGAGTATTTGACGCAGTTATGTGTACATAGCAATAGTGAACACGGGAAACCACTCAGGAAACTCGTTCGAGTCCCTACATTCTGAGACACGTGAGATAGACCTGCACTCGGCACACATCCATAAACGCTATTCGTCTCCTACGTTTCTTTTCATTTATTTATCTGCTTTTTATTTTTACGTAACGGAGGCGATCAATTGAAATCGAAGAATCATATATACACACATACATACATACATATATATATATATACGAGATACGCTTCGATTGAAACGAAATAAAAAGTAACAGCAAAATTTTATTATCTCTCGAAGATAATGTATCGATAAGAATATCCACGTACGCAAATACATTGTATCGAATTTGTCTTAAACATAATTAATAAACATCGCAATAATAATCAATGAATTTTGATCGCACGTATAATTTTTCGATAAGTTCAGGCTTTCGAAATGAGTACCCAACCACCACCAATTGGCATCGAGAGGAAAAAAGACGGCGACAATCTCAACGGTAGTTGCATCTTCGGCGAAACTTCGAGTTTGTAGTCTTTTATCAATGTGGCCAAACAACTCTTCATCTGCAGCATAGCCATCCTCATTCCTACGCAAATTCTTGGACCTTCGCCGAAAGGAAGGAACGCCATCTTTTCTATACTTTGCTTATTCTCGTCGTTAAATCGCTCCGGATCGAATATCTCTGGATTGTCCCAGTATTTCGGGTCTTTGTGCAAGCCAAAGATCGGTATCGCTATTTCGGTGCCGGGTTTTGCGCGATAATTCAACCCGTCCGAGCCTTGCAACTCGAACTCGGCCGTGCACACTTTACCCAGAAAACCCAGAGCCGAGAAACATCTTTGGGATTCGCTGATCACTTGATTCATGTACGTCATGTCCTTCAACGCGTCGAACGTTAACTCGCCCCCGTGTTTCTCGATCGTCGATCTCACCTCCTTTCTCAATTTTTCTTGCACGTCTTGATGAATGGCCAATTGGCATCCGACAAAATTAAGCGTGACACTGGACGTTTCGACTCCATCGATGTAGAAGGAAACCGCATGAGCCGCCACGCTCTCTTCGTCGATCTTCTCCCCCGTCTGCTCCATGTCGATCATTAATTGGATGAAATCGTTTCTGGGTATCGGATCGCTCCTCCTTAGCTCTAAATTTTTCCTCACCACTGTCCTGAAGAATCTGTCTATCTTGTCAGATAGGAATTTTATCCTCAACATTTTGCTAAGAAAGGGGAAATGTACGACGATCCCAATTAGAAACGTATTCAAGAATTCGTTATTGTTCAATTCGTTAAACATGGATTGTACTCCATCCTCGAAACAGTAAGCTTCGATTCCTAAGCCGGCGTTCGCCACAACCTCGCTCGTAAATTTTAAGAACAACGACTTCAACTCGACTTCGTATTTCTTGCTCGATTCTAGCCGCCTGTTCAAGAAGTTTTGAAATTTTTTACACACTTCGTTCACAGCTGCAAAAAGGATTTTTAATCTCATGTTGCTAAACGCATAAGTCAAACGTTTCCGTCCGATCTGCCATAATTCTCCGTAACAGAAAAATGGATTTTTCGATAGCAAAGGGTCCAATTTCGAATCGATTTTAAACGCATTTTCATGGAACTTCGAGAAATTACTTTGCAACACGGTTTTAATCAAATCGATATCGCGAAGAACCAACACCGGATTCGTTCCTTTGTACATTCCAACCATACTGTGATTCGAATCGCGATATATCTGATCGATCATTTCACTGTAACTTTTTTTCTTGATCATCACGGGTAGAAGATGACCGATTATCGGCAACCATCCTTTGCCGCATGGGATTCCGTTTCTCTTCCAATACGTGTGTTTTAAATAGAGGTAGAAGCACAATAATAATAACGCGCCCGTAACGAGCGTCAAAAACGCAGAAACCATTTTCTTTTTCCGAGAGAGAGAGAGAGAAGAAAAAAAAGAAACTGAACTTGAAAATAAGAAAAAAAGAAAAAAATTCACGACTATCTTAATAGTTTCGAACACGCGACACTGAATGCTGACAGTATAGAAGAACTGTCCAATTTAAACTCTGATATCGTCCCACTCCTACGTGTTATCATACGCATTGCACGCAGTTACACTCAGTCGTGAGTCGTAGTTATGTAAAAATACGAAACGGAGGTCGTATCGAGATGGATCGCGTTCATCTCTTTCTACTCCTCTCTTTTCCGCCTTTTATACCGATAATAGATATATAAAGAAGACAAATAATCCATACAAATAACAGCTAATATATCGCGTCAACATGACTTAACACCAGCACAAAAGACGCAATATGTTATATTAATATATAATTAAATGTTGTTTACGAGACTGGAAAGATAACATTTCTCAAGTGTACCATCTTCTCTTTAGATAATTTATACGTATAAATTTTTTTACGAAGTATAAAGTATTAAAAAAATATTCACTCGAATATAATCTTGTATAAACATATATCAGATAAAACGACTTGACCTTGAAAAAAAAACGACCCGAGCTTTGAAATGATATATCGCAATGAATAGCGATTATTTAATCATTGCTCTCCCTCGTTCACGTCCCATTTAAATTGTATATCGAGTATTTCCTGTTACAGCTACATTCCGTGTTAATGCAGCGGCCTTCTCGAAGCGGTAAACTTTATGAAAACTTCGGTAAGTACTGTAGAGATTCGTAATTTATCCTCCTTTCGCAATGATACGCCCAGAGAGAAAGGGGAGGGAGAGAGAGAGAGAGAGAGCGTATCTTTAGACTAATGGCTAGGCTCTACGAACTCTGTTCGTTTTCACACTAGCCAAACTATCGGAAAACTGTTTTGTTTTCCGGCAAACTCTTAGCCTGTTCCGTTTCGTGATGCAGCACGCGCGTTATGCGAGAGATAAGTAACAAAAGTACGACTCGACGAGGATGCTCGAACTTTGCGAACAATTTACCAACGTTTTCTACTTTATCGCGGATCGATATACGATACGTAAAAAAGAAAAAAACTCGTTCGTTTCGACGAAATTCTCATTAAAACTCGTGATTATCCAAAATGACTTTAACCACGTTTCTCGTTGGTGAAAAATCGAAATATCGCGATGGATGAATTAATGGAACGATTAAAAGCCGCGAACGATTTCTCGACGAATTTCGCGCTTCCGTGGAAGCCTGGTAAACGGAGCTTAGATGTAGACCGCTTCCGATAAGGTGTCCTCTTGCCTCTCTTTACCTCTCCGCTCTCTGCCAAAGGCAGCCTCTGGTAATTAAGTCGAGCCCACAGCAACGTCGCTTCCATTGTGCGAGGCAAATGGGCTGTTTAGCCCGGATAGGTACATGACTCCATCCCCCTGTTATTGTGCATGTACCGACGCAATCGATCACCATCTCTGCTTTATTCTTGTACCTCCTCCTACCCCTCCACCCACCTTCCCGTCTTTCTTTCGACTTTTCACCGATTTTCTTCCATTCCCTCTCGCCCTAATTCTCCACCCCCTTCTCCTTCCTTTTCCTTTCCGCGTTCTTTACATCCTCCGCGAATCGCAAATCGCGTCGCATTAGATCCGAAAAATGTTTCGACGAAAAATTTGTTCGCGCGAACGTGATATCGCGATACGAAGAGAGAGAGAGAGAGAGAGAGAGAGAAAGAGAGAGATACTCGTTTCATGGCGAATGACAAAAACTGCCGTGTCGGTCTTTCGTTCCGAAACCTTAGAAACATCCGGGAGGAGGATTTGCAAGAGAACGAGTTTCGAGTTCGAAGCGAATCTGGCCAAATGAAACCCGATTCCGCCTGTAATGCGTGTGTCCGCGTGTGCGTGTGTGTATGTTTTCTCTTCTGGAGCGTGGTATATTCGGGCAAACAAGAGCGCGGGCATCGGATCAGGCGAGAGAGGAACGAAAATATTGTTCCACGAAGTTACATTTCGTTTGTGCCGTGAATGCGTGACGCTCTTTTCATCTCTTTATGTATACATACGTACATACACGATCGTGTCGAAGCGCAGGTGACTCGAGGATAGGAAATCCAGTTGAAACGAATTCAGGAAAATCCTCTCCGGGGAGTGGACGACTCGTGCTGCTTCCCCGGAACAGTTTCTGCGAACTCTTTGACACCGGGACACTTTAAAAACGTGCGAGGAATATCCGAAGCACGCCACTTTAGCGGTAACTACTTGCACGCCAGGATAGAAGGAGAACATTTTTACCATCCTTATCGAGACGGGATTACCACCCCTCGTTCAAGATCATCCCTTCTTCTCTCACTTCGAATCTCTCGTGCATATTTATCCATTTTTACCAATTTTAAATGTGAGAATTTTAAATGTTCCATCCACGCTCCGTTCCATTCCACGAATTTTTAATCGCCTCGAAACTTCGAAAACTTATTCAAATTTCTTCGCAATTACATTGTGCAATTTTTTGTTTCGCCTTGACTTTATATATATATATACATATATGGGGGAAGAAATATAAGAAAGCAGTCAGCTCGTAACTTTCGTACCGTCGAATTTAGTTTCACGGAAAACTTGGGCGACATTTGGGTGAACTTTTCGCCGACACGTTGCGAATATTTCACATACGTGAAAAGAATGGAGAGACGCGGCTGATTCGGCTTGTACGCCCCCCTCCCCCCTCCCTCGGTCGACAAGGGTTGAATCGGGTGATTCGACGACTTGATGACAAACGATTATCAATTACCATCGACCACGTTCGATTGTGTTCGTGTAAGACGGATATTGGGCGGCTCCCCGCCCCCGTCGATGGTGCCCTTTGTCATTAAACCGCGTTTCTATCGATCAGGCGTGGTTTGGGAACCACCTGACGCTTCGAGGATCTGCCTCGTTCCTGAGGAATTACACCATGTTCACCGCAGATGCACCGATCCCTCGGTGAGTAATGGCTTCCCGAACTGGGGAAACCTTGTCACTGATTCTTAAGGCGATAAATCAACCGAGGCGGAATGCAATTGTTTCGACAACGCGAATTCGTCGAAAGGGAATGTGGGGGAAGGGGAAATATTAATTGGAAAAGGAACAAAAAAAATCTTGTTTTTCTATAAAATGAAGTATAGTTTGACGTTGTTCGAAAATTGTTTCGGTCGCAATTATGCGATTTTAAGATTAATAATGGAATTATTCACGGCCGACGATTTGTGACACACGCTCTCCGCGAAATGTAATAGAACAGACAGATGGTTTTCAATGAGCGGCGGTGGTTGAAACGGTGGTTCGTGATGGAAAATAAAGGCTAGATACGCTTGTATTTAATTTAACATCGTTTATAACGGAACGTTTGTGTACGTGGAATAACATTACGAGCGAAATATCAGGAGATAATAAAAATTGTATTTTTTTAATAAAATAAATAAGATAATCGTATTTCTTGGTAATCGATCGATAGGATTTCTTCACTTTGCATGTTTTTTTTTTTATGCTATCGGGATAACATCGTATAACCAATCGATTTCTTTGCCATGTTTAAGAAATGTCAGCGAATCTTGTTGCGTAGAAAATGAATCGTTACTTTTACCATCTGTGTATAAACGTATGTATTTATCTTATTTTTATATTCTCAAAAAAAATTTGTTTTAATATCATTACATTCGCAGAAGATTATTGATAGATAGAGAGATATTCGTTAGAAGAGCTATTGAAACATTTACATTGAAACATCTACATGAAAAACGAATTAGCTCGAATAGAATTTTCTACCAAATGAAGATTATTAATCCACGTTATTCGCGTCGAATACATTTGCATTCCTCGGGCAAATGTTTGCACTCAGCATCTTCCATCTAAAATTTCGAAGAGAACGATTTGATAAATTTCATATCTATCCCTCCCTGCAGATCGTTCCTAACTAAAATCGATCGATTCGTTTGCTAGAATCAATAATCGTGGGAAAGACGGGCATCCTCCATTCTCCTCCATCTTGCCGAGCTTGACACGCGAGCTTCAATTTTCCCAGTTCAACGGCTATTATTATCGTAAATAAAAAGGCACGGTTTGACGAGGAATTCGACGTTTGGAATTTATTTCGACAATTGTGTGACAATTTCGGGGTTGGCCTCTTGGCCACGGTGAGACTCACCGTTGCCGAGTTTTCCCTCTACGTACGTTCCGAGAACCGTAAACTAGAACAAGCTGCCGTGCCCTCTCTGTCTTCTCTCGAGTGTGACGAAGTGGTCTAGAGTTCACTCTCCTCTCTTCGCATTCACGAGTCTCTCCTCCATCCGTCCATCCTCCCTCCCCTCTTCTTCCCCCCTTCTCCCTCCAACGGTCCACGATTTTTAAAATTACACCGAGGTCATCTCTGGAGTGGCTCGCGCTCGCAACAAGTTCCCCGCTACTCGAAAATCGATCGGTTAATTCCAGAGGTGCTCAAGTATTTCTTCCGCCCACCCCAACGAAGCTGAGAATCGATAACGAACGAAGAAGAGGAGGAAGAGTGAAAAAAATGAAATGAAGGGAGGAAAAAACGGAAGCTCGTGCGTGTATATATATATATATATACATATATAGGAGCGGAACGATTTTCGAAAAGTTGCATCGCACGGAAGCAAGGGGAGGCTAAGTTTGGAAATATTATCGTTGGCAGGCGCGACGTCCTATCGCGCACAAAAGGGGTGGACGAGGGGTGGAAGGGTGGAGGGTCAGTGCATTTTATCGGGCGGTATTTTCACGGAGTGGGAACACGAGCTCGCGGCCAACGGCATGAATGTTTGATGGAGCGAGTCGGATCGGTCGGAAGTAGCGGCGTCGCCTCTCTTTCCGATATTAGCCGTGATAACGTCGCTCGTCGATCAAATAAAAGGTTCGCCCCGATGGAAGCTCCGATGGAAAGGGAAAAAGATGGAGTGATTGACGGGGAAAAGGTGGATCAGGAACGAATGGGTGATCGAGCCCGTGATTCACACCGGTGCCGCTGTTTTCAACCGTTGAAAATTCCATTGTTTCCATATTGTTTCTTCTTTTTTTTTTTTCTTTTTCTTTCTCTTGCTCGCCGCGTTCGAATCGAACAAAGGGGAGAAAAGAAAAGAAAAGAGAGAGAGGGGAAAAAACGACCGCTGTTCCCTTAATGCGAACATTTCGTTTCGACGCATAATTGGTCCTGGATGTGTTCGTGTACCGTTCGGAGAAATTACGAAGAACCGTAATTTTTACGGCCGCGTGTAAGATAAGAGGCGCGTATTACCTTGGTGGCGCCAGGTTGAGAGACTCTGTGCTGGCGCCAGGTTGGCTGGAACCTGACACGCGATCAATCAACCCGCTGCCCTGTCCACTAGCCGGGTTTACCTGCTGGTTTACCTCATCACTTTAGTTTGAATTCGCGCTCTAAATGCGCTGCATAATTTCTGCCTGCGGAACGGAACTAAACAGAAACTTTTAATTAAAATAGCGAGCAGTTTGTTCGTCCAGAAGGCACGGCGAATTTAACGAACGTAATTGTGTACGAACAGCCCCCTCGATTAAAAACCTCTTCCAACGATTGTTCGAACGAACGAAACCGTTTACGCGATGCGTTTATCGCGAACGGGGATCAACGATCGTTATCGTTTTTACCTTCCATATCGAATCTTATCGCAACAGAGGCCGGTGAAAAAAATTTCCATCCGACGCGACGATGTACAAGAGCGTATATAGAGCTCGTCTCTATGAAAACTACGTAAATA